TCCCGGATGTCTCGGGGGTTCGATTCGGTTTAAAGTTATTGCCCCGCGCTCGAGCGGCCGCCCGCGTCACCCGGAATCATCGTTCCCGGCTGCCGGAGGCGAGCGGGATTCGCAGGAAATCGTTTCGCGCGCGATCTTCCGGCTCGCCGCGGTAGAAAAACGGATTGCCGATCAAAGAGACGTCTCGGGACGTCTGCTAATTGGATATCGCGCGAACGAATCGTCGCGATGGGGATCGTTTGTAGGGGAGATGCGAAAGAAGCTGAGAATTGTGCGAGATATCGTACGCGTTTTTTCGATTTCTCGCTGCTGTCGCGAATTAATTACAATTATTTCTCCGAAATACGAATCATGTAGTTTCTACACTTCAGATAGAGTATTCTCGATCTTAGAGTATTCTCGATCCTAAAGTATTCTCCATTCTACAGTATTCTTGATCCTAGAGTATTCTCAATCCTAGAATAATAAAATTAAGAATTCAGATCTTTCCAGTAAATTAAAATTCTCATCAGACTTAATACTCAACACGTTGAATGCCACGGAAACTTCGGTCATATTTTACTTGTGAACTGTATTGATTTTTTCAATAAAATATTAAGTTATATTCAAGTTTCTTTTTAATTTTATATGTTTTGATATCGTTTCTTGATGTTTTCGGTACTTTGTAACGTATAGATATTCTTGGCTATGTGTCCCTTAAAAATATTTTGTTACAAAAACTTATGAGTTTCATAATTGAAAACATGATAGGAAAAAGTGTAGCAATACTGTTCGTTGATTCGTGGTATCTAGTTTCTCGACTCTCGGTTAGTTGTAGCAGGAAATTCAACTTACTAGATGCGCTCTGTCGATTTTGATCTGTAATCTTCTAGGAATCATTTTCCTTGTCATTCTTACCGTTTTCTCCCTGGAGATCGTCCCGCGATCTTCCGGTTCGTTAGAGTAAGAAGACGATTCTTGATCAAAGATAGCGATGTTTCCCGATGTTCGCGAGTAATTTTCGAGGCGCGGAATCGATAGGACGATCGTAACTAATTATAAGATAAATGTAGCCCGCAGGACCGGCTCGGGCCGAGAGTCACCGGGAGATAAGAGGACAAGTGCGGAGAAAAAAGGAATCGGGGGAAAAGGAGAGGCGCGCGAGCGGCTGAATGGCGATCGGCGAGCGCTCGGCTGGAAAGGGGACGGGAATCATTTAACATTTTTAATCGCTGCGCTTGATTACGGTTCGAGAGGACTCCGTGGAATCGTGTCTGTCAGGTGTGACTGCGGTTGCCGAGGATTTATGGGTCGGGCACTGATTTTTGAGAATAATCATTCTTTCAGACTCGTCCGCTTGGAAAACTCGCTGCAGTTCATACTGAAGCTACGCGATAAATCAAAATTATACGTTCCTTCTTTTTCCATTGCTGAGGAAATGCTACTTCGAGGAGGGTCTATAGAGAAAGTAGAAAGGTCAACTTATGCTTATTCGCTGGAAACATTCGACACTTTCCCATGAAGCATAGACACTATTTGAAACGAAGTGAGAAAACATTACAATTAAGAAACAAAGCTATTTTCTATATATCTTCACATATTGATGCATTATGTAATACTTAACCCTTAGCACTCTAGGTTCTTTTGTAATCTATCAGCAACTGCAACTAATTTTTAACGAGGCATCAATACGTGAAGCGGAAATAAACGAGTCCTATTGCTTAATTGGCGCAAGGTCTTACTTTATTTACGTTAATAAATATTAACAATGAAAAGTACTGTCGAGTACAAAGGTTCACTTGCGATTCTAAGTATTCTCGATAATCGGAACACCGAATGCCCGTTTCGATCTCGATAAAGTGCCTCGTGTCTTCGATTCTCCGATTGTCCCGCGATCGATCGCCGAAGAAGACACGCGATATCGCTGATTAGCGTGTCTCGTAGACGCTTAATCCCTTAAAGCACCCTTCGCGATGTAAATGAATATTGATCACCGTCCCGGGGGGGTGGATATCCGAGGCGGACTCGAAAAGAATCGTATCTCGAGACCGCAAGCGACCGTCTCTGAATGGGAAATCAAACGAAACGAACCCCGACGACGTTGATCGGGGGGTTGGGGAATGTGGGACGGTGTCGGTAATGAATAAAAATTATAATTACGTTTCTACGGCGCGGCGGTCGTTCGCCGCGGGCGAAAAAAAGAAGTTAATCAATCAAGAGTCGGGAAGGGGAGAGTTAAGGTTTTGTCTTTCCACGGGTTGGAACGTGGAAGGGAGCCCTCTCGCAACGCCAGCCCTCCTTACGGTCTCGTCTATCGGATTCGCGTCCTTCGGGGTGGAGGATTCGAGACCGATCAATTAGCTTCCCGTTAGAAGCGAGAATGTCCTCGCTTTTTATGCACTCTCAACTCTCCTGGATTCTTCGGATCTTCAACTTAACACTGGAGCTACTAGATGATTCTAAATTCCCTATTCCTGACTTATTTTACAATTACTGAGAAGATAGAGATACGGACGATTAAGCTAATTCAATAAAAGGACACCTGAAGTATAGATCAATTTGAATCTTAATTATCGCAGGCTTGTGGCTTTTATGAAATTCGTAAACTTCAACTTAATACTGGAGCTACTAGATGATTCTAAATTCCCTATTCCTGACTTATTTTACAATTACTGAGAAGATAGTGATACGGACGATTAACGAAGTTGATTAAGTAAAGGACAACTGAAATATAGATCAATTGGAATCTCAATAATCGCTTATGGTTTTTATAAAATTCGTAAGTCAGAGTAAGTGATCAGTTCTAGCGTTAATGAAGCTTTCAATTTCGTAGCATTTTGTTTGGAGTTTCAACGTTTCTATACACGGAAAATATATAATAATAATAATAATAATAATAAATATTATAAATGGCAATAATTATAATATAAAATAATAATAATAAATAGCAAGTTAGGTCGCGTGACCGATTGCCTTTGCTCCATATCAATTCCTTTCATTCTACAATACCGTCAGAAGTCTCTCGATTCCGTTCCGATTTCACGAAATTCCGACGAGCCTAAAAACATCACGTTGAAACGCCGGAAAACAGTGGAGAATCACCGAACCGCATCTCAATAGCAATCTCGAGCAAGTAAACAGAGTCACGTTCGGCGAGATCACGAGATCCCC